AAAAATCCCGTAAATTGATCGTAGTGAAACGCTGTCAACGTCGTGAATTTCGATTCAAAGTTTCGACATTTTTTTAAACCGTCGCCGTGAAAATCGTCAATTCATCGCCGACGTTGCTCCGTTTTTGACACCTCCCGCACCATCGTGTTCCTTGTATCGTTCTGAGTCCATCGGTGTCCTCCTTGCTCCGTTGTCGCCGGTGCATGAGGGAGGTGAAGTATTCAAAGTTTCGACGTTTGAAATCGAGCTCTCCACCGTTCAAAACTTTAAACCGAGCTTGGTAAGTGTCTCAAAATCGCTTAAATATTTTGAGAATTTTTCGAACACCATAGGACTGTTCATGCGCTCCCACGTGCCGCCCCTGCGCGGGGGAGCTTCGAAAAGGATTGGGGCAGCTTTGACCCATTTGACCCGACTCGAACCGTTGACCCGACCCATTGATCGTTGACCGACCTTTGACTTTGACTTTGACCAAAAGTTAAAATTTTTGAAAAGACATGTTTTATTTAACGATGTCCTGATCCTGATTCCGCAGTCCGTTTTGCCAAATTCGAAGTTGAAAGCCTCCAAATTGTCAGTCAAACCCAAAATGCATATGCACTTAAGAGTTTTAGCTTTAAATGATTAAATTAAGACTTGAGGCTGATTAGTTATTGTTATTTAAAGGTACAAAAGACTCTCATGATCGCTCAATAGCTCGACCCAGCTCCTCTAAATCCGTTAGACCGTGTGTGCCAGTATTCACTCGTATGACCCGTAAATCTTACTATTTCATAAATTAATTATGTTACCCACTAGTAATGTAGTGTTATTACGAATTAGGTTCAAAAACTATAGCAGCGTGGCGAGGCCAATACTCAAATTATCGAGGTGTGTTCCTATATATATACTTAAGTATTTTATTTGTTTTAACATGTGGTACACTGAAATCTATGGTTACTGTTTTATTGATGCACTGATTTAATGGTGATGGCTTATGGATTATGATTGATAGCTGATTATTGGTTTACAGTGGTATATGATTACCATGATTAAGGATTTATGGAAATTATGTCACTGTATAAATTGTGTTTTTGAGATACTGATTTATAAAGTACAACTCTGATCAAACTGGAAAATTTTTATGGACCTAATGTGACTCTTAGGTAGGCTCTACGGCCCTGAGATCATTCTCGGGTAGGCCCTGCGGCCCTAAGATGTGTTCTTAGGTAGGCCCCGTGGCCCCGAAACTTTCTTGGGTAGGCTTTCAGGCCCTAAGAGTTCCCTTAGGTTGGCTCTTTATACAATGGATTTTTAAACTACGAGTTTAAAAAAACTACACTACATTATGATTTATGAGATTTACTAAACTATGACTTGTTTAATGTACCTATCATGATTTTATCGTAATGTTGGGACACATTGAGCCTAGCTCACTTTCAAAATGTTTTCCCCTTTCAGATACCTTCGGTTAGATACCCAGATCAAGCAGTTGGAGGATAGGCGCATTTCGTATAGTCCCTCTGAATGTAATTTTTATCTTGCAAGTTGACTTTATTATTGAAACATGAGCTTTTATTTCGAAGTATTTGATTTTATAACTACTACTGCTTTTGCTATTGATATTCTAGATTTTACAAAAGGTTTTAAATTAATTTGTTACTTTTTAGTTTTATATTCATGAGTTGGGTTTTTCTTGTTAAATTATTATACTTTTATAAATGTCATTTGTAACATGTTTTTAATTATCGAATAACATTTTTAGAAAAATGTCTTTAAGAATCATTAATATAATATGCTAAATTTGGTCGAAACGCATAGGGGGTATAGAGGGTTACAGAGTATGTCTTAAAAGTAAATCCAAATCAAACCAAAACCACATTTCCTGATAGTCTACACAAAAGAAGAAATTGGCTGTTTAAGTTAGCAAGCAACTATACATGGTCAAATAGCGAACTTGAAAATTAAAAAGAAACTATTAACATTTTCTTAATTTTGTGAGCCACCCTTGATGCTTGATTGCTTGATCGACCCAACCATGGTCCTTCAAGAATTGATGATGATTTGTGACACAATCCAAGTGAATTGTGGATTCACATGCTGGGCAGTAGTGAAACCAGTGGTCTGAATTTCTTTCCTTCTTACAAGCTTCACAATAACTTTATCCAAAAAACTTTATCAAGAGAATCATAGGCGAGCCTGAGAGGATGCTTATCGTACTCGTACGAAATGTTCTGTGTTAGCAAAATGCTGCTGAGTGAAGTTGCAATCAAAGCATCTGTAGCTAGTAGAATAGCCAAAATTACCACAACCAGAACATCTAAACTCATAATTGCAAGACAATGGCTTCATTACAAGATTGAGAGTACGTGGATGGGATTCATGGTTAACAATGATTGGTAAGTATTCACCTTTCATGTTGGTTTGAAACAGGGATTGTGGCAACTATCTGAGAACTCTTTGCCTTTGTATTCACATATCCTGTCATTACAAGAATTTTCTGTATTTATTTTCTTTTATGAAGTTAACATTTTAAAGAATCTGAAAATCATAAAAGAGAATATGGCTACAGACTGAGCAGCAGCAACATGCTTGAGTGGTGCAATTCAACCTGCAACGAAAAGGTATGTCAATTATATAACTCTATGCAAAGCAACTGCATCACCCTGATAAAGTATACCGATCAAGAATTGAAACGGCAGAAGATCTACTTACTACTTGCTTTCTGATTTAGAGTTCCAGGGAAACCGAAGCCAAAACTCAGTCTCTTCCTCAGAAGTCGACATCCTGCAGGCTGCAAGGACCGAGATAATATTGAAATTGAAAGGTGAAAGAATGGATTGTGTAACTACGTATACATTACCAAAACAAGGATATTTCAATACTCATACCTTCTTCAATGATGGCCTTTCATTAGTAAGTATCCTTGAGCTGGAACTCTTCAATGTGAACAGCCTATGAAGTAGACGGACGTAATTAGTCTAGGAAAATACAAGCTTAAGGACTCGTTCTATTGCAACATATTCAATTATTTGCATCCACTCGTTGCATTCAACAGATTCAAAAGTTCTTGTTATTACTTTTTAATCAAACACCTACAGAAGATTAGTAATTTGCAAAATGAATCCTCAGGCAATTAGTTGGCTGCTTCTGCCATATCTTTCTCCAGTTTCCCACACCTATGATGGTCAGTTCATCTAAGCAAGGGAATGCCACCTACAAAATTCACTTTATTGTGTCAATAACCGGAGGTAATATTAATGAAACTGAGAATAAAACAATGGAATTTACGACTAAAAATAGAGAAAACAGCATCCACTACATGAACAGGGCAATCAAATATTTAAGGAAAAGAAGATACAGAGAAAGGTAAGGGAGTATCACCTTTTGATCGAAGAGAGTCAGAGGGAATCTCCGAGTTGATTCCTTTTGCACCGGAGACGAATGTTCTTAGTGTAGGACAACTTTCTATACTAAGACTTGTCAACAAGGGGAATTCAAAGTAATTTCCATGGCAGAATCTAGTCAGTTTAGGAAGGTTTTTGAGCAATAGAAATTCTAGTACACGAAACTTCTGGTTCATCATTTCTTCTTTGGCTAATCCTTCCAAAAAGATCACATTTTCCACATTCTCACAGTTTTCGACCGTTAGCTTCTTGAGATGCAAAACTTTTAACCATAGAGGACGAGAATAGGCAGTTCAAATTATGACAGCCCCTAATAGTCAAGCATGTTAAATTTTGGGCATAAGAATGTGTGGCCAGAAGCTTGTGTTTCCATGCTCGCTGAATGCTGATTGAAGATAGCTCCAAATCCTCCAAGCCCGGGAAAACCTGCATACATATATATAGTCTTGAATGTATGGAGAAAAGTTTCACTTTTTGATGGATGTGAAAAGTTTCACTATTCATCAACTACATTATGCACCAATCTGTGTAATTGTTTTCATAGTATTTAGTTTGGAAAAATCAAATATTTAAACTCAATTTGCAATTTTATCCTATAATTTTTATTCAGAAATGTTAAATTGTTTATCCGTATGATGAACATTAGAACTTCTCATCTTATAAAATTTTACCATTTTCTTTTGAAATGGTTCATACCTTTTCTACAAACAACTGTTGAATGACAGCATTAAGGTCGCCTTCCCAGAGCCCTACATATTCACCTTTAGTTGATTGTAGTCCATGAAGCTTTGGTGTGCTTAACTTTCCCTTTGTGAAAAGTTCCATCTTTGGACAATGTCTCATGATTACTTCTTCCAAGGAAGGAAATACTAAGGTATAATTCCCTGTGCAGAACCTTGATAGGATTGGAAGGCGATCAAGTTCTAAAGACTTGAGTTGGGAGAAAACGATGCCATTCATGAGTTCATCAGTTGTTGAAGCTATGATTTCTTTTAACATTTGGCAATATATAACACACATTCTTGTGAGTTGGGGAAAATATAGGTTTGGAAGTGCTCCATGCCATATCTCCTTCATATTTCTGTTCCGAATCACATGTAATTCTTCTAAATTGGGGAATGCTTCCTGAAAAATTTGGAAAAATGTATGTTCAATAAAAATTGTCTAAACTGATGCCATATCCCCTATTTTACCTCAATTTTATAGGTTCATCAATTGGGTCCAATCGCAAACTTCATCAAGACTGAATTTATGTCACAAATTCTAACAGATGCATATGTATTAAGTTAGTTTTGTGAACTGTTACCTCAGTGACCCAAAACAGGGGTTGTTGAACAGAGATCAGAGGTTGGCTCTCTCCTTGTGTTTCTCCAAAGTTGATATACCCCCTAGCCAAATTCTCTACTTTGCTGCAATCACTCACCACCAATTTTTCCAAGGATGGCCATTCCGTAGTATGCACCTTGGAGTAGAAACCCTTCAACTTGGGTAGCACTCCAAGATACAACTTTGTTATTTTAGGAAACACAAACTTGGTGATTGATTTGAGTTCGACCGATTGGGCGGATGTTCTGCGTGTGAGTCATTGGAATTGCGTAAGTGATCGTCATCAGGTCCAATTATTTCTTCAACCGACTTACATTCCTCTATTACCAGAGTTTCTAGCTTTTCAAGTCTTTTCACCACACTAAAAGGTAAAATATTTGAAACTTTCACAGTCTTTCACCAAGAGGAAGGTCAATTCATTAAATGAATTCATATTGGGTTTATCGTGCCATATCTTTCTGCACTTCCCAATACCTTGAATGGTCAAATGGATCAAGTTAGGGAACACAACCTGCGGAAATTATTTAAGTTAATAAATAATTTGTAGAGGATATATATATATATATATATAAAGAGTACCTCAATTTGTAGAGGATATAAAAGGATACAAAAAAAACGAAGAAAATCACCTTTTGGTTGAAGAGGGTTGGGGAACCAGTCTCTGAGTTTTCTCCATGACAGAATGTCCCTAATTTTGGAAGCCTACTGAGCTCCAATAGATTTAGTTTAGTGAACCAGTAAGCCTCAGTTATCCCTTCTTCTTCTGCTGTCGCTTCATCTGTAAAGATCACTTCTTCTAAGTTGTCGCAATCGACAAGGCGAAGTTGAACGAGTTGCACAAAATTTTTTCTTGAAAAGGATGGAAATATATATTCCAAATTGTGGCAACCCTTCACAATTAAGATTCGCAACTTATGAACACTAGAGGATATGGCACTGTGTGGTACATCTGGCCATAATTTCTGGATGTTAGTGGACGATAGCTCCAACCAATCCAAATTGGCACACAAAACCTGCAACCACAATCCTCATTGCATGAATTAATGTGATTGTTAAAAGTCAAAACACTAAACAGAAAATAAGAGAAGGGAGAGACCTTATCATTGAAAAAGGGTGTCTTTTCTCCTCCACCTACCTCCCTTGTACATGCCATTGCGTACATCTTTGGACAGTCATCTACTTCAATTGTTATCAAAGATGGACAATGCAGAGTAATACTTCCCATGCAAAAACTTTTCAAATCTGAACATGACTCCAGTCTTATTCACAAGATTTGGTAAGCAGACTGTATCCATCGCAGTTTCCTCTGCTTCTTTCTTGATAATGTACTCCATCATGGGACATTTTTTAACTCTTATATCTCTCAATTGCACAAGTTCCAAGGCCATGGAAACGCTAAATATGTATTTCAAGCTATTACAATTACACTCAACTTCTAAAAATTTGAGGTTCTTGAAATCTACACTTTTCTCCTTCCATATTGACTTGGAAAATTCGGAAAGGATCAAATGACTGATGCCTTGGTACCCTTCATAAAGAAAAAAACAGAGAAACAAGGGTTAAAGTTATAAAGGATTCAAGGTTACAACTAAACATACGAAAGGAAGAAAGAGATTCAGGAATAAAATAGAATATAGCTAAAGCTAAATTAAATGAATGCAAAATAGTGAATACCTTTTTTGAATGCAACTGTTGGACAGTGCTGTCAAGGTCACCACTCCAATGTTCTTTACCTTTTCCATATTCTACACTTTGCAACAACGGCGCATTTAAAACTCCCTTACAAAATATCTCCAGCTCAGGACAGCCACTCACTATCACTTCCTCTAAACATGGCAATCCAAATGTGTGGTTGCCTGAACAAAAACTCTGAAGTCGTGGTAGATTCACAAGTTCCAAACTTTTCAACCTGCTGAATATAATGTTGCACGTTGCTTCATCTTCCTCACTTCCAACTATTTCCTTCATTGAAATGCATTCTCTTATGATCAATTGTTTGAGTTGAGACAGACCCTGCACTGCTAGACATGTATCTAAGTATTTCATTCGTTCGCATTCCCACACCTTCAAGGTGGTGAGATTTTGAAACGATGCTGAGGATGATCCTAAGCTCATCAGATTCCTACAATGGTGAACTTCAAGAGTTTCAAGGTTGGGTAGAATGCGGTCCACTTGTACGTCTTGCTTCCATAAGTAATGTTTTAGATTGTCAGAGAAGTCAGTTCTATTTTTCTAATTGTTGACAGTGTCCCATCATACGTCCCCTTATTACCAGCATCTCCTTCGGTATAGAATAACTCTTTGATTTCACAATCAAGGATACAAAGCTCTTCTAGATTGTAGAATCTTTCAAGGAAAGAAATTTGGAAATCATTATCTGATTTATTACGGTTGCCTTCCACCCTAAAAGCTTTTATTTGATGGAAAAGGTTGTTTGGAAATTGACCACCACTTATCATTGCAATGTAATCATCACCGATTTCCAGATGTTGTAGTTTAGGGATGACCTGAAAACCAATCAAAAAACAATTTTGGAGTCACTATGTTCATCTTCCTATGTTAAGATTTAATATTTTAATTTAAAATAAAGCAGAATAGAGTGGGAAAACGGCAAAAACTAGAGTTGATAGAGAAGGAAAAGGGAAAAAAAGAATTTTATTTTTATAAATACAAATTGGTAACAACGTGTCAAATATCAAATCACTGAATTAATATTTTAATTAAAATAAAGCAGAACATATAGAGTGGGAGCGAGAGGGCTTATACCTTTTCAACCAAGAAAAGTGGTGGTTGGGAGTCAAGTTGTTGGTTGTGAGTGATGAGTTGTGTACCAAATATCTTCATTTCCCCACACTCGTATGCTTTTAACTCTTTTAACATTGGCCACTCTGTGGTATGCCTACCTGGGTAGAAACATTTGCATTCTCGTAGCCCCCAAAGCCAAAGGTAGGACAGCTGATCAAACTCGAAAGTGACAGTAGTTTCCGAATCCAATCCTTCCTCTACTTTGGAAATAATCTCCTCCACTCCACAATGGGCTATTATAAGACCACTGAGTTGTGGGAGATATCTGGCTACTGAGGCTGGAAATACATTCTTCAGACTCGCACAATTCCAAACATATATTCGATGTAGATTTTTAAATGAAAAAATGTCTTTGGGACCGTTTTTCCAAATATATTCAAGTTTGATAAATGTGAAATGTCGATTTCTCTTAGTTTGGGAAATGAATTTGGTGGAAGTGGGTTCTCCCATATCATCTTCAACTTTGTCAAGAAGGAAATCTCATTTCCTCCAAACTGGAAAATGCAACCTGCACTCATCATGCCAAAATAATGAAATTAGATGCTAGCGCTACAAATACATCTATGACTGCGCGTGTGTTTGCGATTGCATATATATAATTTTGAAGGCACACATTTTGATATATATTTTAAAAATTTGGAGCACATATTTCGTGAAAATCATTTTTGTGGTCTGGATCTTCAGTTATGTTTGCTATATTTATTATTTTTAATTTGAATTTTGTATAATGTAATATAAAAATATTAATTATATTTGATAATGTGTTAAAATTAGGAACTTATGAATGCTAAAACCAATAATTAAGCTACCTTATTGCCGAACAAAACATGACTACAGATGCGTCGGTTGCCTTCCATTGAAGATCTGTATATGAAACCCTCCAATTCGGGACAGTTGTCTACCGTCAGTGACTTCATGGCTGGAAATTCAATAACTTGAATTTGATAGTCAGAGCAAAATCCAATCAGATGCTGAAGATCCTCTAGCTTTAAAGACTTTAACTGAGGAAATAATGATAAAGTTATAGCAGCCTGGGTTTCTTCTTCTATTTCCTCCAAAAATGATCTCTTAAGCAGTAGCACCCAATTATCTCAAAGTCTGTGAGATGCACTAGACATTTAGCCATAGAAAATGAGAATAGGTGTTTTAAGCTTCCACAGCCCTCGATTTTCAATGTTTTTAACTTCTCATAAGTGAATAAAGATATACTTGAAAGCTGATTGTGCCATACCCTCGTAACATTAATCGACTTCAGCCACAAATTCTCTAAGTAAGGGAACGATATCTACAACCATACAAATGATTTCAGGAAATATTTGAAATAAAAATTTAAAAGACATTGAATTGTAAATACCTTTTTATTGAAAAGTGGCAACTCATGTTGAGGTAATAAGCTGGTAGCACCGGGTTCGTGTTGAGGGCAAAAGCTAATGAGCTTAGGAAGATCATGCAGTGTCAGAGACTGTAATTGAGGAAACCCATATTCATCATTGATAATGTATTCAGTATCTAAACCATTTTGGATATGCAGATTCTTCAACTGCGATATGCTTTCCTCATCTATTAACTCCCGCAATGCAATCTTCACGCCTTTGAGTTCATCCAAATGTAAATCTTCAGTTTTTTTCAAAACTTCTTAATTCCAAGATCCAAATCATCCATGCCTGTGTTTAGCCTCAGTTTTAGGGTTCTTGAATATTGGTAGCTGCGAAACCGCTCCCACTCCCATTCCTTTCCTATAAAAATCTTGCATCTTTCCAATTTCTGCAACACTTGAAAGAAGTCGTGTGGTGTCGCCTTAGCATCCGGGATTTGAACTTCTAAGGTGGACAAACGAGACAGTGCATATAGATCAGCAAGAGTGGCACTGCTTTGTCCCCATTGAATAGAAGTCCCACCCATATAATTCTTCTAATCTTGACAAACTTGACAACACACCGTCTGAAATTGTTTTGAGCTTAGCACAACGACTCACGTCTAACAACTTTAGCTTCACCAGTTGCCCAATTTCTTTTGGTAGAAATCTAATATCAGATTCCAAAAGGCTAAGAATTTCCAAGCTCTTTAGCTCTCCAATAATGCTAATATTATCTCCCAGTTTGCAGTGATCTAGGCACAATGTGTTGAGGCTTGTTAGTAGACGAATTGATGAAGGTAAAGAAGAAAATTGCATTCTAGCCAAAGCTAAGACTTTAAGATTTGTTGCTTTCTTGAAGAAGTCATCCGACGTCAGGAAAAGATCCTTGCTAAACAAAAGGAAAAGAGAAAGTTGTGGACAATTTAACTGGTCAGGAAGACTGTTGAGAGTAGGATATTCCAAACAAATCTTGTTGCACTTTTTCATTGATTCTTCATTTGGCCAATCCATCATAACATCATCATTTTTCAAGGAAAACACATGACTGTCCTTGGAAGCCATTGATTTGGCCACAATATAAGTAAGATCATGCACATCAAAGCATTCATCATTGGTGTTACTATCAAGCAACAAACAAGATGCTTTCAGGGTACTCATCATTGTTAACAACGCATCTAGTCCTTCTTTCAGGGTGCCCACTCCCTTAATTAAACCCAAACCAATTGCATATCTCAACAAGTCTTCAACTCTAGTGTTACGACGCAATAGACTGCAAAGCAAGAAAACCTGCTTGAGGTCTTCACCCCATAGCTGATTGATACTCAATTCAATAGCAGAATATACCTCAGCAGATATCTCGCTTGGATTTTCTGAGTAAGGCCTCTGTAGCTGTCGTAAAGCCTCATTCCAAACAAATAAACTTCTTTTTTGCAACGCCCTAGCAACTGTGGCAATGGCAAGCGGCAATCCTGCACATCTTTTGGCTACCTCAATTGCTGTAGATTGCAGCTCTTTATCGCTTTCAAAACTGTCCCCAACCATCTTCTTAAAAACTCCCAGGCTTCTTCTTCATCTAAATCACCAAGCTTAAAAGTCTTTGTAGCACCCATTCCATTGCTTAGAACATTTTCATTTCTTGACGTCAACAGTATCTTGCATCCTTTGTGTTGACTTCCAAATGGAATTCCGACTTCCTCTAGGTCCAGTTTCTTCCAAATATCATCCAGAATAATAAGAACCCTCTTATCCTGATTCTTCCCTTGATTTAACCTTTCACGTAATGTACTAGCTCTTACAACTGTACTCTTTTCTTCGATCTTCAAACCCAAATATTCTGCTATTTCGTCTTGGATTTTCTGAATGTCAGGTGTCCGAGATACAGTGACCCTAACCACCGAATCAAATGACTTAGCCTCCTGGAGTTGTTTATGAACTTCTCTGACTAGTGATGTTTTCCCCACGCCAGGCATCCCGTACACTCCGATCATGCTCACAGTAGAATCTTTCAGTGACTCCATGATTTCATCGACAACCTTTTCCCTTGATTTAAAGGACTCAAAGTCTGTACCCACTATGGGTTGTGGAAGATCACGGTAGCCCACGCTGCTAAATTGACATTCTTTGACAAGCTCATCAAAAGCTGCGGCATCTTCTTCCGCTTTCCTGCTAAGCTTGTGTCGAGACTTGATGTTGGGACAGAAGCCAAAGAAGCACTTGTTTGCTTTGACTTGAAGATCATCCACTTTATCCTCCTCTTCAGCGATAACCTTGTCCACTCTATCGCACCAACCCTGAACATCCGCTTTAATCTTCTGCACGTTCCTTTCTGCAACAAAAATATCTTGCTGCACGCTTGATCTTTTGTCCATCAACTTCTGAAGTTTGTCTTCGAAATTCTTGACGTATCTCTGGTAGAAAACTACATATCTGATATGACGTTTTGCTTCATGAAAGATACCCTTTGCAGTTTCAGAAGAGATATTGGCAGCAGCACCAGTAGCAATTGCTTCCATTTCTTCTTCTTTTTTTCTTTGGGGGAGGTCCGAATGGAAAGCAAACAAACAAAATGAACAATGGATACAATAAAGGAGAATCAAGAAAGAAAATACTGAGAAGAAGCAGGCAAGAAAGAACAACCTTAAAATCAGGGAATGAATGAGACGAAGGTTAATAGGTAAAACTTAACGATGAAATGAAAATTGTGCTGAACACTCGCTCGGAAAAACTGAATTTCCAATCAAATTCTGTAACCCTTGGGCTGGATGGTTTCTTTCATAATATTGAAGAAAATGAGGTAGAGAGATAGATTAAAAAAAGACTAAGCACTAAGTATTTATTTAGATATGTTTAATGTTTGTTTTGTTGTCTAGTGGATGTTTGTTTGCATTTACCAAAAGTCTTGAAAATATCACACCTCACATGCCAATCGTTTACCAAAAGTCTTGAGAATATCAAACTCACATCGATTTGATATAAATTGTCAGATTCTTCCATGGATTTGTTTATTTTCATTCGATAATTTCGCACGTGGAAAAGTGAGAATGGGAGGAAGTTTATGCATTATTACTTGGTGTAAAGTTGGGAGAAAATAAATATTTTTAAAAATATATGTTAAATTTTTTTAGAAATAAATAAAATATTTATCGTTATTTAATAAGTGTTTGTGGAATTATTTTTCTTAGATTGTATTTTAAATACTATTCCAAAATGTATATAATATATATAAATGCCTTTTTAATATTTTACCTAATTACTTATTTTACAAAAATATAATTATAATATATAATAATATTATATTTTTAATCAATATAATAGATATATCAAGTAAATTAAAAAGTGTATAAATGTAATTATATTGTTATATGTAATTATAAAACTTTAAATTTATATAAATGTACAAATTGTATTAATTAACATAAAAATAGCATTTATTAAATTGATCTCTACCATTTTATTTTTTTTATTAATCATGAAATAAATTATTGAAAGATTATAATGATTTTTAAAAATGTTAAAGATAAATTATTATTTGGTGGTTAAATGGGGTGATATTTTATTTAAAAGTTCTTTGTTCGAGTAATTATATCCAGGGACAAAGCTATGTGTAAGGTTGGGCCACTTTCCCCTATTTTTTTATTATTAAAAATTATATAAGGAGAAATATGTATTTAGACCTTCAAATTTTGGTTTATTTTGATTTGCCCCTCCCATTTTGGTTTAGTTTGATTTTACCCCTTTCATTTTCTATTGTTAGTTACATCTTGTCTCTTGAAATAGAATTCTGACTACGTCTGTGGCTGTGTCTACAATGTGTGTATCAATATATGTATTAGATATGTATTATCAATGACTGAAAAATATTCTAAATAAATATTATCTCAATTATCTTAAACTATAAAAAAATATTGAAACATAAAGTACTTCTAAATTTATTATCAATTGAACCCAAGGAATAGCTTCGTTGGTTGTAGGTGTTTTTCCCCATAAGTAGGGTGAACATTCGATC